CGTCTCGCGAATCGACTCGTTAGAGGATTCGTTTTCCTCCAGTCGAATTCACTCTTGAAGTGGAAGACCTTCTCTCTATCGAGGCGCGACGTGCGGGTCGCGCTACTGCGAATCGCTGTCTGCGACTTGGAGCCAGCCCCGCCCTTGTACGCGCTCCACACAGGCAGAACATCCTGATCAGGAGATTTCGGGTTGGTCAGATCCCGTTTGACCGGCGCAGAGCTCTTGGCGATTTTCCCCGGAAGCTGCGCTGTAGATGACTTTTTCTTCTCCAACTCGGTTGTTCCTTCGGGAGTGCCATCGATTGGACTGCTCGAGTCGGTTTTCGATCTGAAGAGTTCTGTGAAGGTTTCGGCCATCGGGGATTCACTGGACCACCTGCTGGAGAAGACAGAAGACTCGATGATGTCTTCGTTGTCTCCACTAGAAGATAGCCGAACCGTCGGAACTTTCCCGCGAGCGTCCCGACCGATGGGCGCGACCCGGTCAACGACGAATACCGTCGTTTCCGGAGCATCCGAATCGTTTCGTGCCGAAAACACACGGTGAGCTCGAGCGAATGAATGGTATCAATGACATAGTCATAAGCTCATCATGAAATCATCAGAAAGGGGGCTCATGGGCTTGCGCTCGTCGTTTTGCTTCAGATGCCCACTCCCTCCCTAAAGAGGCCGACGCAGCTGCGGCTCCACTCTATCTGGGGTCGAGGGACATCACTTGGGCCTCCGACGAATGAATAGACGTGGAGCCCTCTGTAGCGCAACTGAACGACGCCTCGTGGTCCACCGATAAAGTCTGCGGAATTTTGGCGCTCCTAATGAGCGAGAATACTCCTGGAGACTCTTTGAGCGGAAACGAGGGGCAGTATGGACGAGAAATTCAGCGACTAAGAAAATCATTCCGGCGAATGATGAGGCGATCACCAAAAATTTGAAGGTGGATGTGAAGCCGCTCTCGCCCGTGGCCGGATCGCCTGGTCCCGACCCGACGGTCTCAAGAGTCTCGCGGAAGTCTTTTTCGACATTGCTTCTATCGCTACAGCAATTGAAGGTCCGCTTGATAAAACCTATGCTTTCTTTCGAATGCCTACGCTCCTTTCTCCGCCTGGACGCGCGATCGATAGCGAATCTTAGAAATATGCTGGCGTATTCGTTGGACTCGATGATATCAGTATTGGAAGCGATGACTCTGACAGTTTGCAGGCCTCTCTTGGTCAGGGTTCTGAAGCGACCGAGGGTTTGTGGGTGAAAATACATTTTCCGATTGGTTTCAATCATTCGAATGCGATACATGTTACTGAAACCGAAGAAATTACGAATCTGATTGACTTCAAAACTTGATCCGCAAATGATCACCCCGGACGATCGGAGAAACCAACGGAGTTTTTTGTCCATGAGGGAATACCAAAAATCAGGGGTCGGCATTGTAGTATGAGCTTTCCTAGGCTCGGCCGCGTCGGAGTTGTCATATTCGAAAAATTCTGTTGCGCAGCCCGGGATTAGTGGAACCCTTTCACAACTCGGTACGCTGATAATCGAAGTCATGTCGTCGACTAGAATTTGCGTGAAGAACATGTTTGCCAGGACCCACATGGAGAGCGCAATCGGAACGCGGCTCCTCATTTTCCTGGCACATTCTCTAGATGTCGAGATTCCACAGACGAGGACAAGGAAGGACTCGCCGAACGATGTGTCGCTCAGCAGCCAAATTGATGCTCCAAGAAGACTCATGATGCTCAGGGTGAATTTGTTCACCACGTGTCCTCGCAGTCCGGATAGAGGAGCGACCTTGTCGAACCCGTAAGCGACGACATCATTGTCCGCGGAGACAGGTAGTCTGTGTAGAGTTCTGACTGCGGAATCCGAAATTCCGAATAACTGGGATTTGTTCATGCACGGCTCAACATCGGTCCTAATGGGCACCCTGTCCAGGTACGGATTTCGCCTGTCGCTCTTCATGTTCCGAATGGTTTGCATCTTCGACAGAAGATGGGGGCACGCTTTCCTCGTATCGGTCGCGATCCACTCAGAGACGCATTTTTTGATCGATGATGATTTGTCGACGTTCTCGATGTTCATTTTGAAACCGAAAGGTAATTTTGTGACGGATCTTCTGCCGCAGGGAACAACCCGAGACGCTGCATTGTGACGGGAGGCGTTGACGTGTATCACCCGTTTATAATCGTTCGAGGAAAACTCCAGCTCCGATTCAATCTCTGACGTCGAGATAGAGTTCTTGCTGATAACAATCAGTAAGTCGTTGACGATCGTATTTCCAAGTGTCTGCGGAGATTTTAACGTTAGGAAGGTCGCACGTTCAAGTGGACTATTCAAGTTCGTGAAATCGACACAGATGAAAACCACTCTGTGGGTGGCCTGATGTCGGCGTCGTGCTTCGTGGGAGAAATCGTCGTCCCAAACAAAGTTATGGAAGTCCCTTGTCAAAGTAAGGTGTGAGGAGACTTCAAACCATGTTTTGAGGCGGCAATCCACGAGCTCAATGGTAAGATCGCTTCTCTCCGCGACCTTCTCGATTTCGCTCATTGCGAAGAAAACTATCTTCTCCTCGGCCTCTGAAGCCTCATACTTCGATTCGGAGTACGTGGGTACCCATGCTCTGCCGGTCTTTTGTGTGGAATTCCTTAGCCGCAAGCTCTTCCGGCTCAGATCCATTTGGAGAAAAGTCAGAATAAGGGCTGCCAGAGAACAAATGCCGCAACCGGAGTACCTCATCCTGCGCTTACGTCTCAGGAGCTCCATCACGGTCTTTTGAGCCACAGAGCTCAAACTCACCGGTTCCTCCCACGGGATTCTCACCTTGAGAGAGTGGAGCCTCACAGGAGAGTCCGACGTGTAACTTCCAGACTGAGCGTCGCTTCGCAGCCATGGGAACACACACATCTTGCTTGAAAAATTCATCACAGGGATCAATCAGACTCCTGCTGTGCTTGCAGACTTACTCAGCTGGTCTCGGGAACAAGAGCCGAATGACACGAGTTTTGGATTGCCGTGATGAGTGTGTCGAATCGGCAGGAATATACCCCGGAGTTCCGAGCGATGGATTCAGGACCGCAGCTGGCAAGCTAAATATGCCGCAGCTGGCACGCTTTCACATTCCTTGCGGCGAACGAGTATCAACAACGTGTCGCCGGAATCGGCCTGTGAGCAGCCAATTGTCGATTGAACCTACCGTGTTGTTCTTTCGACCCTCAAAAAAGACTCCGGGGCTTACTTTCTGGGGAGGGCTTATTTTAATTTATTAGACAAAATCCCGGTCTACGAGAAAAGACTTCAACCATTGTCTTCACTCGATAACAACAACGTCACCATCCTCTGGTATAAACATTCATAAGAGTCAAATGCTTGGAGAGGGGCCCCAAGATGTTGCGTTTCGATCTCTCTGCGTGATATCGGTCCGAGTCGTCCATGTTTGCCGATATACGTGTTCTCGAATCTATGTGCTCCATCGAGGTAACCTGCGCGAAGAGAACTTGAGACGGTCTTGTCTGAAATTTCTTCCCACGAATTCCAAACCCAAGAGACGACTTCGGCCAAAGAGGGCTTCACGAAATTCCCTCTCAAGTTCCTCTGAAAGCGATTTTCGATATAATCATTGACTTCGGAGCGGAGGTAGACTTTGAGGGGTTTGTTGATCGCCAGATCGAGACTGCAGATACTCGGGCATCCCTGCGGGGAACAAGATTTGATCCAGAGCTCTACTCGCGAGGAACCTCTTCATGTCCTACGCGCGATGTGTGCTGGCTGAATCCCAAATGATCAGTCCCCTCTTCCCATTCCTCAGAATCGGTGGTAGCACACGTAGGTCGATCCACTTCCGTAAGACTTCTTGTGTGCCCCACGCCCTCTCGCTTTCCAGAACATAAACATTGGATGAACGTTTCAGCTCACCTTTCTTGCCCTTCGAAACAATGAGAGGGAGAACTTTCTTCCTATCCAAACGGATTGCGAGGATGCAAGTGATCCTTGCGCTCTCGTACCCGGTGGAAGGGACGTATATCGACGACGCACCTGTCTTCTCGATCGTTAATTGAGATCCCTGACCCTAGAACACTGCAGTCTCGTCCATTGCGATGATGTTTGACAGAGAACTCGATGCCATCCACACAGCTCTTGAAAGCTAGAGCTCGCCTGACGATTTCGTCATCCTCAAGTTCGAAAAGTGTGGTCGATCTCCTCAAAGACAACTCATTGCGTTTCATGAAATCATCTACCCAATGCTTTGATGCTCTGAAATCGCCGGGTGAGATATCGAACGCTGGAGCCAGCGAGAGCGCAGTGTTCTGTATGTCCGTGCGACTGACAACCAGACTCAATGCTCGTCAATCACATATCCACTCCAGAACATCACTTTCTAGTTCGGGAAAGGACGGTTTACGACCCGATCCAATTTTCCGTTTCCCTCTTCGATTTTCTGGCTGAAGTCCTCAGCGTCCGTTCGCCTGCGGCGCACCATACGACTATCGAGCTTCCTTTCCTTGCAGAACTGAGTGAGCAAAATTTTTGCCGCGGCTTCCTTCTAGAATGTTCCGCTTATAATCGAGAGTATATTTTTCCCGCTTCATGCTCATCATCACACAATGTAACCAGTATCGGAACGCACTTTGTTCCGAAGAGTCACGAAGCGTTCGAAACGACAGCGGTAGAAGGTCGAATCGTAAACAGCTTTCAGCATGCACCCACGTCTCGCTATCATTTCAAACGTGTCCCATGTCAGTGCTTCCTTCGCGGTGCGCAATCAGGAAAATGAGAGTCTTGGACTTGAACAAATCCGAATTCTCAACCGAACCTGGACAACCAGGGCTTATTTTCGGGGGAGGGCTTATTCTAACGCTAAGCTCGAAAATGTAGGCAGGGCTCATATTCGGGAGAGGTCTTATATTCGGGGAAACACGGTGGTACAAGTGATACCGAGGACTTTCGAATAAGGGCTGTGAATCGGGAACTACTTATCTCTCGATGGCCTTCGCCCATGAGAGCGTCATGGAGTCGGACTTTGATTATCCAGACACCGAGAAGCTCGGCACTTGCAACTCCAGCACTCCACGAACGACCGGACCGGAACTCCACTACCGGACCATACTTCCCGATAACGAGGATCGCTTGGCCTATTCGCTCAACCAGAACGGACCGCTGGTCGTTGTTTACATCAGAGCCGTCCGCAGGTGAGTGAGTTTCTCTGAACTAACCGACCGGAAACTTTTAATTCCCACACCTCGATGACGTTTTCTCTCGGCGCCTGTAGTTTCAGCTATTGCTCCAAAGGAATCTACAACGATCATCTCTGTCGCGGAGCTGTAGCCCAGGCCATGCTCCTCGACGGTATTGAAAAGGATGACAACGGCGATGAATTGTGGATTCTGAAGAACTCTCGGGGAACTCCATTGGGCGATAAGGGATTCATTAACCCATGGATAGATCCATTAAGTTCTTGAAGAGCGGGAATAGATGCGATGATGACCACTTACACCGTGACTATTGCGCGCTACCGTGATATAATCATTCGGTAAGATCCTTGGCATCGCAGCACGTGTCAGGGGAGGGAATTCGCGGAAGCCCTAATCCCTAAAGCTAGGATGGATCCTCTCCCCCGATGATCTCCCCGCATGTGACGTTCGACCTATCGAATCGGGGGTATATCTCTTGTTCTATCTAATGAGAGTTGTACTTCCCGTAATCTCAGCATCCTCTTACAACACTCTGTGAGGTGTCCTCAAATACCAAACAATGATCGACTGTTCTCGAGTCTGATTGTTCTTCCTCGTCTGGGTCGAGCAGCACCGAAATAGTCGTTTCGAGAGAATGTGCCCTATGAACCCATGATTCCAGTTTGTGTTGTCGGTGTGGCGTAGGGAACAAGATGAGACCGTTTCCGCGGAAGTAGCGAGAGCGGGGAAATTTCCATTGGCTTTCTCCCGGAGGAGAACAACTGAGAGAGAAAAGGAATCTTCGTGAATAATTTCCAAAGAATTTTCTCGTCTCATCTCTTCACGCTTAGCAGAACGGATACACTCGACTAAATGTGCTCCATTCGAGTATCGAGGAGGTCTAATCCGCGGACGATCGAATCAAAAGTCGCCCACGCTACCACAGGTAAATCGAGGATGGGATCATTCATGGCCCTGAGTGCTCTTTGTGAGGCGATTCTCGGCGCAAGTGGACTTCTCGATCGCCTCCGGAATCCGTGACGAATAAAGGCGGGCCGCCTGGAACTCGATGATTACCTCCCGACAAAGTAAGAGCAATCACGTGGAGTCGCGTGGAAAGGTAGGCAAGGACGTTATCTTTCCAGAATGGCTATTCTCTCACGACCTTATCAGTTCCTTTTCCTTCCATGTCCAGCGCACCACATGGAACGGATCCCCAGAAGACAGTCAGTGAGCACCGACAATTCGGAGTTCTCCTCCGGAACTAGTGAGCTGTGGTGAAGAAAAAAGGAGCTGTGATCCCATCGGCATGAGTCATAAGGCTGTCACTCCGCGGAGGGAGCTTTACGGAATTCCCAGAGGAAGGTACCGCGCCGAGAATTGTTCTCTGGAATGCTCCCTCGTAGTCGGCACCGAAGCCGACGCATCACGAGACCGGGAAACCGATTCCGACGGCGTGCGCGCAAAATCGGATAGGGGCGAAGACATCAACGACAGACCTGGCTGTTCCCGCGACGCAATGAACAAAAACCTTGAAATCGATGCGTTTGCTCGGAGTCGGACGAACAGCCGAGCGCAGGATCTGAATCATCCGCTGTTCCGAGCCGTATGTAATAACGATCTTCAGAGAGTCGAAGAACTTCTGCAAGACGGAGCCGACATAAACGCGATCGGATACGAGTATGGCGGTTATTTCACCCCGGCCGAATTCACCCCTCTCATATTAGGGGTCGCTCGAGGACATATACGGATATGCGAGAGACTTCTACAAGTTCCCGACATAAACCTGAACCAGACGGAGGGTACCGGCAAGACTGCTCTACACGAAGCAGCGAGGAACGGCAACGCGCACATGGTGAGACTCCTGAAACAAAAAGGTGGAATCCAGGTGAATGCCAGAGAAAACATGTACGGCCACACTCCTCTACATCTAGCGGCGATAGGAGGTTACGCAGACGTCGTTGAATTATTGCTGGAAGAGGATGACGTCGACGTGAACGTCAGGGACGCGGTGGGCGGTTCGACTCCTCTTCATTTAGCGTCGATCGAAGGTCACGTCGAAGTCGTCGAATTGCTGTTGTCCAAGGATGAAATCGACGTCAATGTGAGAGATAACACCGACTGCTCGACCCCACTCCATCTGGCCTCGAGTGAAGGCTTCGTCAGAGTCGTGAGATTGTTGCTCCAAAATCAAGCGATCGATGTGAACGTGAGAGATTCCGAACTCCGATCTACACCGTTACACCTTGCCTCGGCCGAGGAACGGACAGAGATCGTTGCGTTACTCACACAAAAAGAAGGTATCGACGTCAATGCGAGGGATATCAACGATTCCACCGCTCTGCATCTCGCGGCCAGCAGAGGCTCCGCGAAGATCGCGCAACTTCTCCTGAGAGCCGAAGGCATCGATGTGAACGCGAGGACCGCCGATGGCTCTACTCCACTGCACCTGGCGTCGCTGCGAGGTCATGTTGAAGTTGTGAAATTCTTGCTGGAACACGAGAATATTCAGGTCAACGCTAGAGACGCTGATAACGGATCGACACCTCTGTATCTCGCGAGTTCCCACGGCCACACGGAAGTCGTCAGAGCGTTAGTCCGTAAAGAGGGCATAGATCTAAATGCCGAAAACACCTCACACAGGAACACCGCGCTCCATCGGGCATCGAGCCATGGCTACGCGGAGATCGTGGAGATATTATTGCAGCAAGACGGCATCGATGTGAATATTCTGAATGCCGCAGGGTACACCCCTCTCCACAAGGCGTCGATCAAGGGGCATGCCCGAGTTGTTGACCTATTGCTGAAGAAAGAGGGTGTCGAGGTGAATTTCAAAGACGGCAAGGATGGAGACACCGCCCTCATATCGGCGGCATGGGGTGGTCATGAGAAAGTCGTCGAACGACTTCTAGGCATCGAAGGAATTCTGGTCAACGAGAAAAGCGAGGATGGAGAAACCGCGCTCCACCTGTCCGCCAGCAACGGTCACTTGGAAGTTGTCAGAATGCTGCTCAAAAGCCCAGGGATTCTGATAAATGAGAAAGATCATATCAATTCTCAGACACCGTGCCATCTGGCGGCAGACAATGCCTATCCCGAAGTTCTAGAAGCGATACTCAGTCATCCGGATACTGACGTGAATGTGAAAGACAACGCGGGGCGAACTCCGCTACACTTGTCCGCCCTCTGTGGTAATTCGAATCAGGTAGAGATGCTCTTGCAGGCGGGTGCTGACGTTGATGAGAAAGACGACGGAGGCAACACCGCACTCCAATTGGCAGCAGAGCACGCAGACGGCAGACCACGCGATCGCTCCTCTTGTGTCGTCGACATGATCGCGGAATCGATGAGAATTGTGGACAAATCTGATTTCGGTGACGATGCCGCAGATGGGAGATCAGATGATGTTGTCAGACGTTCGAGACCGAACTTGAAGTCATGGATTCGGCAGGTCTCCAAGAGGAGGGCTAGGCACACGACTAATGAGTGAGATAAGGCTGCAATAGTCGAATATGTTCGACGCGATGGTTTCTTGAGGATGCTGATATTTTCTCATGGAATCTTCTCGATATGCTGAGGTCGGAAGTCATTGCTATCATGCAAAGCGAATAAAGCATGCAACCGTATCTTATTACTTCTCGCAGATCTCTCCCTGTCCAGCCTGAGGGGAACTCATGTTCCCAGTGAAAGTGATCGAGCAAGGCAGATTCCCCGCGTAAATTCGTAGGTGAGAAGCACTAGCACGTGGATCACGACGAACCCTTCTCCTTGAGCTGGAGGGTCTCTCAAATTCCTGGGAGAGGATACCAAAAGATGGCAGTCGCCCTCCTCCCAGTCTATTTCGAAACGGAGCTCGACTGAGTGATTTCATGCGGAGACGGTCTCGGAATCTACTCATTTAGCACTCGGGTGGGGCTCTCGAACGCCTCTCCGCAGGGCTTCCGACGAGATTCGTCGGCTATATAGCAGTCTTGTCGAGGACGAGTTTTTCAGCCGCAAAAAATGGAAGACGGCTCATCCACATCTTCGGAGGTGGACTGATCAATCATCACCTCGAGATTTTCCTTATCAACCTGTATGTTTTTATTCATCTATCACGGATGACAAGATTTAAGAATTAGGAGTAGATATTTGGAGGAGCCGACAATCTCCCGTCTGGCTTGGCCTCTTGCCAGGAGTCCCTATAACCGGGAAGGTTGACAGTCTAACCACATATTCACAGGATATCGCATGATATCGTGAGTTCTCGCCGCTGTGTCTCTCGCATATACAATACCGGTGAGGTCAGTCATGAAACTTCTCCTCAACACGAATCGCCGCATGGAAGCCATGTGTCGCGAATCTAGTGGCGGAGAGACGCCTTTTTCCCGTCAGTTCCCTCTCATCCACTTGGAGTCATCGCGAGCGTTGTGAAGAACTCAGCATCGATATGAGACTTCTTCAGCGATTTTCAGTGAACTTACCTAAGCGTCTTAATAAATATGATTTTCAGTATACTTACCTAAGCGTCTTAATAAATTTGATTTTCAGTACACTTACCTAAGCGTCTTGATAAAGTGGGTTCCCCATAAATATATTTCGTGAACTCGATAGAATTTCAAAAGTATGCATAGTCCTTGTACGCTGCTGTTGCGTGGAGATTGTAGCGTTACCTGAGCTCGTCAATGGAGGCTGGAGTCGCGGCGAGTCGCTACACCAGCCGTTCGCCAGCGCACCTATTAACTCACATTGATATTTTCAATAATGACGACTTCCAAGGGCTCAGGAGTACCAAGTCCGCTCCTGCAAGCATTTCCCGTGTGAGCTGTACATCTATTTACCATATGACGCAACCGCGAATATCTCAGGTCGAAGAAGGCGATGACGGTCATGATGGGGAGCCGATGCTGCTGCGAGAAGTGCCGTCCTCTGTCTCTTTTGTTAGATAGGATTCTTCGTTATAGGATCTGGAAATCTAAAGCACAGGGCCTGCGCATGCAGAGTATGCGGTAGCGTGGCCGAGCGGTCTAAGGCGCTGGTTTAAG